TCATCCACTGATGTTCCAATGCCGGTACGGAGAGCGTGGTCGTCCACTGATGATCCAATACCGGTACGGAGAGCGTGGTCGTCCACTGATGATCCAATACCGGTACGGAGAGCGTGGTCGTCCACTGATGTTCCAATATCGGTACGGAGAGTGTGGGCATCCACTGATGTTCCAATACCGGTGCGGAGAGTGTGGGCATCCACTGATGTTCCAATACCGGTATGGAGAGCGTGGTCATCCACGGATGTTCCAATACCGGTACGTAGAGTGTGGGCATCCACTGATGTTCCAATGCCGGTACGGAGAGCGTGGTCGTCCACTGATGATCCAATACCGGTACGGAGAGCGTGGTCGTCCACTGATGTTCCAATACCGGAACGGAGAGCGTGGTCATCCACTGATGTTCCAATGCCGGTACGGAGAGTGTGGGCATCCACTGATGCTCCAATACCGGTACGGAGAGTGTGGGCATCCGCTGATGTTCCAATACCGGTACGGAGAGCGTGGGCATCTACTGATGTTCCAATACCGGTACGGAGAGTGTGGACATCCACTGATGTTCCAATACCGGTACGGAGACTGTGGGCATCCACTGATGTTCCAATACCGGTGCGGAGAGGGTGGGCATCCACTGATGTTCCAATACCGGTATGGAGAGCGTGGTCATCCACGGATGTTCCAATACCGGTACGTAGAGTGTGGGCATCCACTGATGTTCCAATGCCGGTACGGAGAGCGTGGTCGTCCACTGATGATCCAATACCGGTACGGAGAGCGTGGTCGTCCACTGATGCTCCAATACCGGTACGGAGAGTGTGGGCATCCGCTGATGTTCCAATACCGGTACGGAGAGCGTGGGCATCCCCTGATGTTCCAATTCCGGTACGGAGAGTGTGGGCATCCACTGATGTTCCAATACCGGTGCGGAGAGGGTGGGCATCCACTGATGTTCCAATACCGGTATGGAGAGCGTGGTCATCCACGGATGTTCCAATACCGGTACGTAGAGTGTGGGCATCCACTGATGTTCCAATGCCGGTACGGAGAGTGTGGGCATCCACTGATGCTCCAATACCGGTACGGAGAGTGTGGGCATCCACTGATGCTCCAATACCGGTACGGAGAGTGTGGGCATCCTCTGATGTTCCAATACCGGTACGGAGAGCGTGGGCATCCACTGATGTTCCAATACCGGTACGGAGAGGGTGGTTATCCACTGATGTTCCAATACCGGTACGGAGAGCGTGGTCGTCCACTGATGTTCCAATATCGGTACGGAGAGCGTGGTCGTCCACTGATGTTCCAATACCGGTACGGAGACCGTGGTCGTCCACTGATGTTTCAATACCGGTACGGAGAGCGTGGGCATCCACTGATGTTCCAATACCGGTGCGGAGAGTGTGGGCATCCACTGATGTTCCAATGCCGATACGGAGAGCGTGGGCATCCACTGGTGTTCCAATACCGGTCCGGAGAGCGTGGGCATCCACTGATGTCCCAATAACGGTACGGAGAGCGTGGGCATCCACTGATGTTCCAATACCGGTACGGAGAGCGTGGGCATTCACTGATGTTCCAATACCGGTACGGAGTACGGCATACAACGTATTAAAGAACAAGACTTGACAATATCACTCAGTTATTTACATTTAGTGGAAAGATATTCAAACCACTGAGTGGCATTAACATGTGGCCAGAGCACCGTTCATGGTTAATCAATTATCATGTAGGTATATTTATGGTAGTAATATTCCCCCAAAATAGTTGCAATTTAAAGTTTGATATCATGTGTACTATATCACAAAAACGCCTAAACACATGATAACAACCGTTATGAGATATGTTCGTATTTCTAGTTCGCTGAGTGACATAACATCGATGACCAGACTCATGCACTACTAGTTGACCTACACTATTCATTGTTGATAATAGATACAACTGTGCAAGAACTGTAGTACATTTGTTTTATTAGACACCTCTGAAAGATCGATTTTAATGCAGTTAGTAAATGTTAACGTCTCCGATGTGTTACTGACCGTGTAGAGGTCCTGGTTTATTGAACAAGGTTGGTAAAGTCGCAGACAAGATTTAGAATAAAAATAAATTTGTACTGTCAACATTTATTTTATCTTAAAAAAAATACATAGGAGTCTTAAATTGTAAAATAGTCCTTTTAACAGCGATTTATAACCAAACATTTTAATCGTGTGCAACAAACTAATTTTAACAAGCATACAAACAGCAATACACGACGCACTTCACACATTGGTATCATGTATTTACAAGGAGACAATGAAATGTTTATTTTGTAAATTCTGAAGATATTCTGGATAACCAGGGATCGTCATCACTGTCAAATATAACTTTTGTTAAAACGTCTTACCTTCTGTAAAACCACCCTTCCTAACGCTAAAACATTTACTAACGTATCGAATATCATGATCAACGCTCATAAAATATTTAATCATGATATTATAAATATTGAATTGAAATTTAATGCAAGTAAAAAAAGAAAAAAAATGAAAATCTAGTAAACATTAATTAAATTAAATTTAACGTATGATGGTCAATTTACATATTTAGGTTTTACGACGACGTTGGTTCAAAGACTATTGATAAAACGTAAAAAAACTCATGTGTCCGTCATGTTACATAAGGAAAATACAGAAAATATTATTTTAGAATAAATTGAATAAAACACCCTGTATAATCAAAGTACTATGATGAATAAATAAAAAAAGATATTCTCCTGGACACGGACCCCAACTTTCAGTGTTTATCAAACAATCCCTGTAACCGTCTCGGCTACAGATCATGGTGATCAGACCTCTACCATCTCATATCTTTGTTCAGCATTGAATGTTACAGCATAATCTGATACAAAAAAAATGGTCTTATTTGGCTTTTTTTGTTTTCGTGAGTAACAGTACATGCATGTATCATTTTTTGAGAATAGGATCAAATTATTTCTATGATGAATGATGAAAATCAACTGTAAACAAGTTGAAGTTAATGCGTAGTGTGTTAACAACCCATTAAAAGTCGGGAAAACCACTATGTCTCATTGCATGTTGTATGACCATAGACCCGTCAATTATGTATCGCCATAGACCCATCAACTATATATCGCCATACACCCATCAATTATATAAGACCATAGACCCGTCAATTATGTATGATCATAGACCCGTGACTTATGTATTACCATAGACCCGTCAATTTTGTATGATCAAAGACCCGTCAATTATATATGACCATACACCCGTCAATTATGCATGATCATAGACCCGTCAATTATGTATCACCATAGACCCATCAATTATATAAGACCACATACCCGTCAATTATGTATGACCATACACCCGTCAATTGTGTATGATCATAGACCCGTCAATTATGTATGACTATAGACCTGTCAATTATGTATGACCATAGACCCGTCAATTACGTATGACCATATACCCGTCAATTATATATGACCATACACCCGTCAATTATGCATGATCATAGACCCGTCAATTATGTATCACCATAGACCCATCAATTATATAAGACCATATACCCGTCAATTATGTATGACAATACATCCGTTAATTATGTATGACCATACACCCGTTAATTATGTATGATCAAAGACCAATCAATTATGTATGATCATAGACCCGTCCATAATGTATGATCATAGACCCGTCAATTTTTTAAGATCATAGACCCGTCAATTATGTATGATCATAGACCCATTAATTATATGTGATCATAGTCTCGTCAATTATGTATGATCATAGACCAGTCAATTATGTATGATCATATACCCGTCAATTATGTATGATCATAGACCCGTCACTTATGTATGATCAAAGACCCGTCAATTATGTATGATCATAGACCCGTCAATTATGTATGATCATAGACCCGTCAATTATGTATGACCATACACCCGTCAATTATGTATGATCATAGACCCGTCAATTATGTATAAACATAGACCCGTCAATTTTATGTGATCATAGACTCGTCAATTATGTATGATCAAAGACCCGTCAATTATGTATGAACATAGACCCGTCAATTATGTGTGATCAAAGACCCGTCAATTATATATGACCATATACCCGTCAGTTATGTATCACCAATCACCCGTCAATTATATATGACCATAAACCCGTCAATTTTGTATGATCAAAGACCAATCAATTATGTATGATCATAGACCCGTCAGTTATGTATGATCATACACCCGTCAATTATGTATTATTATGATCAAAGACCAATCAATTATGTATGATCATAGACCCGTCATATATATATGACTATAGACCTGTCAATTATATAAGACCATAGACCCGTGAATTATGTATGACCATACACCCGTTAATTATATATGATCACAGACTCGTCAACTATGTATGATCATATACCCGTCAATTATGTATGATCATAGACCCGTCACTTATGTATGATCAAAGACCCGTCAATTATGTATGACCATCGACCCGTCAATTATGTATGATCAAAGACCCGTCAATTATGTATGATCATAGACCCGTCAATTAAATGTGATCATAGACTCGTCAAATATGTATGATCAAAGACCCGTCAATTATGTATGATCAAAGACCCTTCAATTATGTATAACCATAGACCCGTCAATTATGTATGATCATAGACCCGTCAATTATGTATGACTATATACCTGTCAATTATGTATGACCATAGACCCGTCAATTATGTATGACCATACACCCGTCAATTGTGTATGATCATAGACCCGTCAATTATGTATGATCATAGACCCGTCAATTATGTTTGCTCTCAATAGCTAAACAAGGTTATACACAGGACATACATTACTGAAGGCCAAACAGTTAAGTTTTTGTGACAGACAGAAAAGGAAGTTAATCGTTATAATTTTCAAAAAGTAATGCGAAATGAAATACTTCCTTAAAAACTAAACAAAGGAAGGAAGATTTATTTTCAGATTTCAAATTGATTACTTACAGGAAACGAAACTGATATTCAAGAACTGTCATCGCCCGGGGATCTGTTGATACCTTTACCTATGTGGTCGGATAGCGAGGAAGTAGATCCGCACGACGATCAATGTGAGGTTGGACTTATTGAGTATGAGATTATGGCATCTGTGGACAATACAGAACCACCCTGTTACCCTCACAGTCCAGGATCTGTCGGGGATATGTCCGATTACAGTTCAGGTAAGTCAAACTTCTATTCTTTTTTGTTTGTTTGGATTTTATTAATTTTTATATTGTTTGTTATGTTTTATGTTTTGTATATCTATCAGGATTTCATGTCTCAGAAAGAGCTATGGAAATACATGTATAAATATGTGTCTAGTCGACACACCGTCAAAAAATTGGTAGTTTGTAGAAGGGAATACCTATCAATGGATAACATGTGCAAAAATCATTAATAAAACGGTGCATTTGACTTCTGATTTTTGGACATGTCCTCGTCGCTCAATACGACAATTATACATCAAACAAAACACAAGTAGCTTCATCTTGCACGCGATGTTGTCCTAAGAATATTGAAGTCAAGCGTCCACTGAGGTCGAGTCAGTGATATACATCACATACGTGATAGGAATTTCTCCTTATTTATAGATAAATTATTTATCGTTACTGACGTAGGTAGAGGAGAACCTACAGTTAAAAGAACATCTGTAGTTAATGAGCAGACAGAAACTATTGTCAATGTTGTAGATATGCTTAATAGAGAAACTATAATTAATCAGACATGTCTACTTAGTGAGAGAAAAAAAAAACGGTTAACAGGATAGGTAGGCTTACTTTATTTTTCAACTGCTGTTATATAATCATGATTCGGAAACTCCATGCTCCCGAAATACTTGTTGTAAGCAGATTGTCAAATGTCTGGAATTGTTTTAATGATTTTGTCATAAGATTTGAATTATCGAAACGTTCAATGGAAGTCATGCTTGAAACTTGGAAACGGAGCTATGAGGAAATGCATGTTTAGGAAAGTGCCAACCTTGTTACACATATAAATCTAATCATGCATTGAATTGCCACTGTGTAACACGTATATAGCCGATGATAAATCTAATCGGTCATTGAATTGCCACTGTGTAACACATATATAGCCGATGATAAATCTAATCATACATTGAATTGCCACTGTGTAACACATATATAGCCGATGATAAATCTTATCATACATTGCATTGCCACTGTGTAACACATATATAGCCGATGATAAATCTAATCAGTCATTGAATTGCCACTGTGTAACACATATTTAGCCGATGATAAATCTTATCATACATTGCATTGCCACTGTGTAACACATATATAGCCGATGATAAATCTAATCATACATTGAATTGCCACTGTGTAACACAAATATAGCCAATGATAAATATAATCAGTCATTGAATTGCCACTGTGTAACACGTGTATAGCCGATGATAAATCCAATCAGTCATTGAATTGCCACTGTGTAACACATATTTAGCCGATTATAAATCTTATCATACATTGCATTGCCACTGTGTAACACATATATAGCCGATGATAAATCTTATCATACATTGAGTTGCCACTGTGTAACACATATATAGCCAATGATAAATATAATCAGTCATTGAATTGCCACTGTGTTACACGTATATAGCCAATGATAAATCTAATCATACATTGAGTTGCCACTGTGTAACACATATATAGCCAATGATAAATATAATCATGCATTGAATTGCCACTGTGTAACACATACATAGCCGATGATAAATCTTGTCTGTCATTGAATTGCCACTGTGTAGCACGTATATAGCCGATGATAAATATTATCAGTCATTGAATTGCGACTGTGTAACACATATATAGCCGGTGATGAATCTAATCAGTCATTGAACTGCCACTGTGTAACACGTGTATAGCCGGTGATAAATCTAATCAGTCATTGAACTGCCACTGTGTAACACGTGTATAGCCGCTGATAAATCTAATCTGTCATTAAATTGCCACTGTGTAACACATATATCGCCGATGATAAATCTAATCTGACATTTAATTGCCACTGTGTTACACATATATAGACGATGATGAATATACTCAGTCATGGAATTGCCACTGTGTTACACGTATATAGCCAATTATAAATCTAATCATACATTGAGTTGCCACTGTGTAACACATACATAGCCGATGATGAATATAATCTGTCATTGAATTGCCACTGTGTTACACGTATATAGCCGATGATTGTGTTACACGTATATAGCCGATGATAAATCTAATCTGTCATTGAATTGCTACTGTGTAACACATATATAGCCGATGATGAATCTAATCAGTCATTGAATTGCCACTGTGTAACACGTGTATAGCCGATGATAAATCTAATCTGTCATTGAATTGCCACTGTGTTACACATATATAGCCGATGATAAATCTTATCAGTCATTGAATTGCCACTGTGTAACACATATATAGCCGATGATTAATGTAATCAGTCATTGAATTGCCAATGTGTTACACATATATAGCCGATGATGAATATAATCAGTCATTGACTTGCCACTGTGTTACACGTATATAGCCGATGATGAATATACTTAGTCATTGAATTGCCACTGTGTAACACGTATATAGCCGATGATGAATATAATCATACGTTGAGTTGCCACTGTGTTACACGTATATAGCCGATGATAAATCTAATCAGTCATTTAGTTGCCAACGTGTAACACGTATATAGCCGATGATAAATCTAATCAGTCATTAGTTGCCAATGTGTAACACGTATATAGCCGATGATAAATCTTATCATACATTGAATTGCCACTGTGTAACACATATATAGACGATGATGAATATAATCAGTCATTGAATTGCCACTGTGTAACACGTATATAGCCGATGATAAATCTAATCATACATTGAGTTGCCACTGTGTAACACATATATAGCCGATGATAAATCTAATCAGTCATTGAATTGCTACTTGAAGAAAATATGTTTCTCTGATAGATTACACAAGCAAACGGATATCAACATGTTATTTCAAACTAAAAGTCATCCCTCGCTTAAGAGTTATATCAGTTGTAAACAGCCAATGCGTCACCCTCACTTTCCAAGCTTACTATTACAAGTAACTTTTGAAATGCTATGACATGTAAATACACCAGTTGATCAGGTAACCTTGTCTCTGTACCTCGATATATGTCTTATAATTTCTTTAACATCGAATTCGCTATTTTAACAGATATATCAAACTTTTATAAAAATACATGTAGATTAACGGAATAATGTTCGCTATATCATAGCTTTTTAAGGAACTTGAAGGATAGTAATTCGAACCTTATGACTTAAGCTTACTTACATTTGACGAATTTTCTAGGAAATTTCAAATAATAAAAATGAATATGTTTTTTTTTCTGTATTTGGTTTACATGTATGTTTAATAACAAAAATTATCAATCATGATAATGGTTTTATAGATATAGATATCTATAAAAGCATAGATCTAAAACGATCACATTGATAATAAGTGATAGGTAAAAATACAGAAGTTTGATATTTAGAAATTTGTTCAAATATAGGAAAATGTATTTCACAGCAAATAATTTAATTCTAATGATGCAAAATTTAGTTACTTGTTTATAGAGCATTTTAAAACCAGTTTTTATCAAAAAGTACTTTAGACTTATGGAAGGTATAGAAAAGCACGTAAAACAATAAAAATACTTTAAATATTTTACAAATGTTTCCTTAATTAACAAAACTAGCAACAAAAGCGTTCTATGAACGGAGTCTTATCTGTAAGACATTGATTTACACTGTTATCCCAGGAAACGCACAGACTAACAAACGAGCACAGGTGTGTTACTGAACGATACGATCATGTCGTCACAAAGGGGCCTCGGGGGATATCCACTGATATAAACAAACATACTATATTTATATGTACCATCGTTTTGTTATATCAAGTTGTTTTAGAACAAATTATTGCACATATATATGTAACAGTTGATATCGTCTTCCAGTCTGTTTGCTATGATATGATATGATATCTGTAAGATCACCCGAGAGTTTTACTGACGAACACATATCTATAAACCCCCGAGCAGATTTCGTGACTCAAGCAGGAAGTAAAACGACCAAACCGTTGGATAAACACGGACACTTACATTGTATATTCATTCTACTTGCAGACTGCAGTGTGGAACCAGGACTTGAGACGTGCACACCACATGCAATGATTGAATTGGGAAAAATTGACGTTCGCTCGAACATGCAGAACGCCATCGTTCCTAAGGTGAAGATCGAGCCCCAGAATCTGCCGGACGATTCCGTATTCAAGCCGTATTACTGTAACAGTGGATACGAGGAAAGCGACAGCAAACTAGGGGTGATGGATTTAGGGCAAACATATGACGAGGAAGATTCAAGCAGTGATAACTCCATCAAATCTTCAGACAAACAGAAACGGAAACGCCCTGGCAGGAAGAAAGGACAAAGTAAGTTTTTTAAAAAGCCACATTGAAGGACATTGATAGCGTGTAACTGACGCATTTAATATTTGTAGTTGTTCGGAATTGTTAGCATACATTTCGTTTTCCCCATGCATTTGTATGCAGACCTTTTAATGATGTAGGTTATGACACTTATATGTATTCGTTTGATAGAGAAATTGAATCATTAATTATAATCTTTGTTTGATAGAGAAATTTAATCATTAGTTCTAATATTTGTTTAACTTGTTTTAGCTTCTAGTGTTTATCATTTGTGGGAATTCATCCGGGACCTTCTTCAGAATCCAGAACACTGTCCAAAGATTATTAAATGGGAAGATGAAGATGAGGGTATATTCCGTGTCCTGAAATCAACAGAGGTTGCAAATGAATGGGGGTCAATGAAAAAGAACAAGACGAAAATGACATATGAAAAATTGAGCAGATCTTTGAGGTAAATACCAGCGTTTTTTCTTACAATTCCTGCATGAGACTTAAACTGGTGTTAATTAGTTTCACTTTCTCTTTTGATTTCATAAAGGGCTAGCTTCACCCTCACTACATGTAGATATTTTGTTTCCCGTTTCAATTTGTAAACAACACATATAAACGATTGATCAGTTTTAAACAAGCCATTTTCTCATAACGTAGTTTTGTTTGTGTTGTAAATGATATGCACAAAGCATATGGTGCAGTTTATATTTCCTTGTCCACGTGTACTTGTCATACGTAACATACCTTTGTCGATGATCACGTGGTCATGTTATCGTAATACATTACAAGTGTGGCAAATACTTCCTGGTCTGGCGGTGAGCGTACGTAAAAACCCAACAGTTATATTTGCAAAATTCATTCTAGAAATCCTAAAGGGCCATTCACATGTAGACAGAACAACATTTATTTGACAGCCAATGCGCTTAGAGTTTGGATTTTTTATTTGCATATTACATGTACATACACATAAGCCATACACGTATTGTTTGGGTTCATTGTGCCATTACGATCAAATTACTTGTAATTTCGTTAGTTAGCAGTTAAACTATCCATACGAATTTATGCTTTTTGTTCATTTTTTTCGTATCTCGCTGTAAACAGAAGATATTTCCTAGATCCAGCTTCTTCAAAATTTGTCTGATCGTCAAATGTAAGATTCAAAGTTCTTATATTATTATCCGTGGTTATAGGGCCTTTGCAACCAGACTATCTTTCCAAACTCCCATGGGGAGCATACAGCCGGTGCTGCCATTTCGGCGCTCACAGCTAGCATTCTACAATTCTAGCACTGCCCAACCACGTACTCATTTATAGCTGAGTATACTGGAACAAGCGGAGTAAAGTATCTTGCTCAAAGATACAACACAGCGCCGTGACGTGTCTCGAACACGCAACCTTTCGGTCACGAGCCCGGCGTCCTACTACTAGACTACCGTGCTTCCTTGTATAGCAATCACACCTTGCAATGATAAAACAGTGGTCTTCGTATTGTCATTTGTCACTTAACCTTTAAGGTCACACTGTATTCCTATTAAATAACTTGAACTCACTTATTCAAAATGTTTTGTTTTTACAATAACAAGTCTACAGTTAAACGCTTACCGATGGGATATACGATTACAACAGCATATTGCAGAAGAGATAACTGTTTTTGTTTGTTTATGTGTTTTATGTGATGTATTGTTATTTCGTAATGATTGTTTATCTGTGTTATGTGTTGTGATATGTTTTCATGTTTCTGACTTGAAAAAGAATGTCGGAGCGCCCTGAAAATTTGACAAATTCCTTTGTTTGCATTGTCGTTATTTCTTCTCTGCCTATGTATAATTTGTTTCTTTGTATACATTGGAAATGTCGTAAGAATTACTTCACAGTAGAACTGGTCAAGCAAAGCATATATTTTATTGCGTAATATTGTTATACAAAATCTAATAAAACCTTGTAGATTCACCTGTACTGTTTGCATAATGCGATCTATGATTTATCAAATAACTTATGTATATTAATATCAACAAAGACACTTAATTTACACATGTATTTAACATTTGAGTTGATAACTGATGTCCGTAAATCTTTTCTTTGTTTAGATACTCTCGGAAGGAAGGCTACTTTGACGACATACCAAAAGATAGAGGCTTGCCGAAGAAGCTGTGTTTCAAGTTTGGTCCAAAGTCGCACGGCTGGCGAAGGAACACGTGATCATTTGTGTAAGATTTTGCCACAAAAGTGCCGACATCTATGTCATATAGTCCTTTATTGACAAGTTTTATTAACAAATAATCTTGACGTGCTAGGGTTGGTGTTTGGTCCTATGGTGAATGTTGACTAAACGGCGTCCGAAGGTTAAACAAATGATTCAAGGCGTGTTCTGACAATTATGGACCTGTCTTGGAACATCCGGGTTAACACAGGTATTTCTGGGGCTTTAGAGGCAGGGGGACTTTCAACAAGCATTCCGGTGCCTTAGATCCATATGTACAATGTACCTTCAACAAAGATCCCGGTCCCTTAGAGTCATATGTACCTTCAACAAACATTCCGGTTCCTTAGATACATATGTACCTTGAACAAACATTCCGGTGCCTGAGAGACATATATACCTTCAACAAACATTCCGGCGCCTGAGAGACATATATACCTTCAACAAACATTCCGGTGCCATAGAGACATATGTACCTCAACAAACATTCCGGTGCCATAGAGACATATGTACCTCAACAAACATTCCGGCGCCTTAGATACATATGTACAATGTCCCTTCAACAAACATTCCGGTGCCTTAGCTACATATGTACCTTCAACAAACATTCTGGTGCCTTAGAGACATATGTACCTCAACAAACATTCCGGTGCCTTAGAGACATATGTACCTTCAACAAACATTCCGGTTCCTTAGATACATATGTACCTTCAACAAACATTCCGGTGCCTTAGAGACATATGTACCTCAACAAACATTCCGGTGCCTTAGAGACAAATGTACCTTCAACAAACATTCCGGTTCCTTAGATACATATGTACCATAATCAAGCATTACGTTGCCATAGAAACATGTGTATGATTGAGTTTGAAATCATTCTTATGGAAATTTGTGAAAAGGTGTGTTAAACTGCATGAAAATAACTTTGTCAAGTATTTCTACTGAATATGTTTATAGCATTAACCATGTCGTACTGAAAGCTGATTCAGGTAATGGCAGATTTTGAATGACTGACAGGGGGAGTGAGAGAGAGTGAGTGAGGTATGGCAGCATTGACGACTGTAAGATTGAGTGTGATAGACAATGTGTGTGTGTGTATACTTACGTCATATATAGGTAATTAATCTATTTGTCTGAAAGCTTTTCATTATCACTAAATCAAAACCCTAAAGGGAGAAAATGAAAAAATATTGTGTGTGTGTGTATTTTATAAATACACATGTGTCACCAAATATAATCGTAAGAACCACCATAGTATTATCTAAAGTGAGTGATTAACATTTGGATCGTTTTGCAATAAAATAAATGTTATCACAACACTACTACGTACACAGTACGTAAACAGCTGTATAACGGTCTCAGTAACTAGGTATTCTGATGGAATGACGGCCATTCTTATCATACATTACAAAGTACATGCCAGAAAGTAATACTATTAACAAAAATTGTTCATTTTGTGTTGTAGATATTGTCTTGCTGTTTTATCATACTAATGTATTGTATTACATACTTACTGATATATCCAGATTAATTGTTCGTAGGTTTATTTTGTCAATATCCGTTTTGCCCACTGACAGTCGGTTGCTTTTTATCCGTATCGGACCACATTCAAAACAGCTCTCAATTGTCTTATCAAATATATTCAGATGACAAATGAAACCTTGAACAGACAACAGCTACAGTAGACGGTAACATCATTTTAAAATCGGATGGCGCTGAGTTATCTATTTCTTGTTTTAGCGAAAAAGAATAACGTTAAAGATATTGACACTTCGAACATATTCATCTGGCAACTTGTAAGTATGTATGCAATACACAAAATAATATTTGATTATCTATAACTCACCGTGTATCAACCCTCGATCCATAATAGCCCTCCAGGCGTTCAGCCCTTGGACTAGTACGATTGTATATAAAGAGTGCTATATAGGAAAATGTATGCATTATTCTCCATAGACTGTACGTACATTCAATGTAGTACTATCTTCAATTACATCTGTAATTCGTTGTAAATAATAATGTATTGTCATGTTGATAGATTAGGCTGTAAGTATATAGTACTAGTTGTTGATATATTAGGCTGTAAGTACATAGTACTTGTTGTTAAAATGAAAGATGGAGTCTTAATGTTATATTTGTATGGTTAAAATAATGTCATTAATTATGCTAATGAAGTCAACTATTATATTCATTTTTAAAACAAGGACTTCATTAATGTTTTACATTTTTTTAAAATCAAAGATACTTTACACTTGCTCATATGAGCCCTAACTTAAAACAAATAAATCCATATGACCGATCAAAGAGCTGTTGTTTTTTATGATAATGCTGTGAAAGATGTTTATTCATGATAGGTTACTAGCCATACCCATAATGATTTTCTTCGACACTGACGTCAACCGAGAAAGTTAGTTTTACTGGACAATGTCGTTACTGATCTCATCGACACTGACCTCCACTGAGTAAGATTGTTCCAGTTTACTGGGCAATGTCAACAATGATTGTATCGACACTGACCACCACGGAGTAAGATTCTTTTCAGATTACTGGACAATGTCTACAATGATCTCATCGACACTGACCTCCACTGAGTAAGATAGTTTCAGGTTACTGGCCAATGTCCATAAATATATCATCGACACTGACCTCCAATGAGAAAGATAGTTTCAGGTTACTGGCCAATGTCCATAAATATATCATCGACGCTGACCTCCACTGAGTAATATTGTTTCAGGCTACTGGATAATGTCTACAATGATCACATCGACACTGACCTCCAAGGAGAAAAATCATATCAGGTTACTGGACAATGTCTGCAATGATCTTATCGACA